ATATCTTCCTTACCTGCCACGCGTATTTAGCGCAGCCCCTAAAACAAGGGAAGAGAGGACGGGTGGAAGGGGGAGGGAGAAGAATGGAGCACGAGAGAAATTAGCAGAAGGGGGGCAAGGAGCAGAACACAAGCGATAGGACCAGACGAGCAGATCGGGTGGGCAGACCCATAGCGGGCAGGTCGGGAAGGCGGGCCCAGGCGACGAGGTCGAGCAGGCGGGTTGCTGAAGCGTGGGTCCTGCATGAATCGCGAGGAAGTCTCGAGCGATAGCGCGATTCCCAAGTAAATCGCGAGAGAAGCCAGCGTGGGCCACGAAGGGCATAAAATCCGAGGCCACAGAGGGCAGCGACGGGGCCACTGAGGGCAGCTCCGGGGCCACGAAGGGCAGCGAGGGGGCCACAAAGGGCGACAGCGGGGCCACGAAGGGCATGCATATAGTGCCACGACGGGCGCGAGCGAGAGGGGGCCACGAAGGGCATTCGTATACGTGGCCACAAAGGGCGACAGCGGGGCCACTGAGGGCAGCGAGGGGGCCACGAAGAGCGGCAGCGGAGCTACGAAGGGCCACGAGAGCTCGATTCTTGAGTGTCGAGGACCGGCATCTGAATAAATCGTAAGGAAATATCAAGCAAAGCGGTTTGGTGGGCCACAACGAGCGCGACTCTTGGGTGCTTGGGTGTCGGGAGCGCGGCTTTGGGCAAATTGCAGGAAAGCCCAACGCAAGGCCATTCTTCAGTAAGTTGCAAGCAAGTCTCCAGCGAGAGCGCGACTCCAGAGCGCGGGGAGAGCGATTCCCAAATAAATGTTAAGGAAGTCCTTGGCGAGAGCGCGATTCCTGAACAAGTGGCACGTGTGCCATGGCTCTTGCACAAAAAGGAAGGGGGAGGAGGAGGAGGTGGAGGAGGAGGGGGAAGAGGGGGCCAGACATCGCAGAAGGAGTGAACAAACAGGGCCGCAAGAGGAGGTTCAGAGGGCGAGCTCGAAGAGACGCCAAGGGGCGCCCCCCGCAAGATGGACCCAAAGACAGAGGTCCCACTGGGGGGGGAGGGGTGCGTCGCGAAAAATAAAATCGTCGGGGCGGAGGGGGCACTGGGCGCGGCTGGGGAGCTGGGGACCACTGGGGGGCGCTGGGGAGGTCCCACTGGGGGGGGGGGTGCGCCACTGGGCGGGGGGGGAGGGGTGCGTCGCGAAAAATAAAATCGTCGGGGCGGAGGGGGCACTGGGCGCGGCTGGGGAGGCCCCACTGGGGGGCGCTGGGGACCACTGGGGGCGCTGGGGAGGTCCACTGGGGGGGGGGGGGGGGGGTGCGCGTCGCGAAAAATAAAATCGTCGGGGCGGAGGGGGCACTGGGCGCGGCTGGGGAGGCCCACTGGGGGCGCTGGGGACCACTGGGGTGCGCTGGGGCTGGGGAGGTCCCACTGGGGGGGGGGGAGGGCGTCGCGAAAAATAAAATCGTCGGGGCGGAGGGGGCACTGGGCGCGGCTGGGAGGCCCCACTGGGGGGCGCTGGGGGCCACTGGGGGGCGCTGGGGAGGTCCCACTGGGGGGGGGGAGGGGTGCGTCGCGGTCGCGGAGGGGGCACTGGGCGCGGCTGGGGAGGCCCCACTGGGGGGCGCTGGGGACCACTGGGGGGCGCTGGGGAGGTCGGGGGAGGGGGGGAGGGGCGCGTCGCGAAAATAAAACGTCGGGGCGGAGGGGGCACTGGGCGCGGCTGGGGAGGCCCCACTGGGGGGCGCTGGGGACCACTGGGGGCGCTGGGGAGGACTGGGGGGAGGAGGGGTGCGTCGCGAAAAATAAAATCGTCGGGGCGGAGGGGGCACGGGCGCGGCTGGAAGGCCCGACTGGGGGGCGCTGGGGACCACTGGGGGGCGTTGGGGAGGTCCCACTGGGGGGGAGGGGTGCGGGACTGGGCGGGGGGGAGGGGTGCGTCGCGAAAAATAAAATCGTCGGGGCGGAGGAGGCACTTGGCGCGGCTGGGGAGGCCCGACTGGGGGGGGGGAAGGGGTGCGTCGCGAAAAATGTCGGAGCGGAGGGGGCACTGGGCGCGGCTCGGGAGGCCCCGCTGGGGGGCGCTCGGGACCACTGGGGGGCGCTGGGGAGGTCTGGGGAGGGGGAGGGGTGCGTCGCGAAAAATAAAATCGTCGGGGCGGAGGGGGCACTGGGCGCGGAGGAGGCATTGGGCAGAGGTCCCACTGGGGGGCGCTGGGGACCACTGGGGGGCGCTGGGGAGGTCCCACTGGGGGGCGCTGTGGGCAGAGGTCCCACTGGGGGGCGCTGGGGGCCACTGGGGGGCGCCGGGGAGGTCCCACTGGGGGGCGCTGCGGGCAGAGGTCCCACTGGGGTTGGGGTGCGTCGCGAAAAATAAAACGGTCGGAGCTCTAGACACCCTGTGCAAGAGAATACAATGCGTGGAAGACTCGGGCGGGAGCGGGGGTCCTGCCTAAATTGTTAGGAAGTCTAAGGCGGGAGCCGTTGTTGTTGTAACCCGGGGACCAGGGTGCCAGTTTGAGCAGGAAGTCTTTCCCTGACAAAAACAGGGTGCGAGCGTCGAGGGGTACACTTTGATTGAGAAAAAACAGTAGGCACCGGTGTGGGGGGACCAACAATAATTATTCTTCAGAAATGAGAATTCAACAACAACAACAACAACAACAACAACAACAACAATTACTAGCACGTGGGGACACTCCGTTCTCACCAGTGCCAGGGTTTTCATAGGAGGCGGGCAATACCCCCACTTTGTGGGGGGGCCGGTTCAAGCTCTACCAAATTTCCAAACGACTCTTCGCCACCACCCACACCCAGCTTCCCGCCCTATGACGTTCGGACACTTCACTTCGTGGCATGCGGACGACCGTGGCTACTATTCAGGGCCCCGCGGCCGACGACGACGGCGTGCGCGCGCGAAGAAAAAACGAATGTGTCCCGCATGGTATTATTTGACAGGGATGATGGCCCTGGCAGGTGCGCAACCGTTGTTGCAGAAGTTCGAAAAAGTTGCTCGCAAAAGCCCGTTTGACAGAAATGTTTAAAAAGTGTTGGGTTTCCTACGAATCCGCAAGAGCGCGCGGGATGAAATTTTGACATTTTTTTTGAAAAACCATTGGTTTTTTGATGTTTGTATGTTAAAATCGCTACGAAAACTAAGGTTTTGGAAGGATTTCGTCTTGCGCGCGCGAATGTCCACTTTACCTTATTTTTGCAAGGGATTCTTGAAGTTTGGATATGTTAGAACAAGAAATGTCCACTTTAGCTTATTTTTTGCAAGGGAAAACCGATCGTAACAACACAACCGGATCCGGACCAACCCGTTTTGCTTGAGACTTCCTCACGAAAATGATGAAAACGTGGCTGCGGCCTAGGCGCGGCGGGGGGGTCGCGCACCAGGGGCCCCAACAATAATTATTCTTAAGAAGAAATAATGTTCAACAACAACAACAACAGCAGCAGCAATGACAATGACAATGACAACGACAACGACAACGACAGCGACAATGACAACAACGAAGTAATACGAATATACATATAGATACATAGATACATATATATATATATATATATGTATTATGTCGGCGGTGCCCCGTGGCACGAACTCCCCCCGCCTTCCCGGGGGGGTTCGTACAGGGCGCACCGGATGCCGTCGACGACCTGGAACCCCCCATCTCCCTCTTTCCCGCGGGGTCTTGTACCGGGCACACCGGCGCCCCCCCCTTTCTGTGTTAGTTGGGCGGGGGGCTCCTGTGGGAGTGGGGGGGCTCCTGTGGGGGCGTGGGGGGGGCTGCGTGGGAGCGAGGGGGATGGGTCTTGGGGCGTGGATGAATGGAGGTACGGATGGATGGACGGATCGACGGACGGATATGAGATAGATGGTCCAGGGTCTGGCCCCCCCCTCATGCTGATGCCATCGGGCCCCTCCCCGCGCGATGGGCCCCCCCCCACTGTGGGCGTGGCGTGGTGGCCCCCCCCCGCCCCCCCTGTGGGCGTGGGGTGGTGGTGGTGGTGGTCGTCCTCGTGGTCGTCGTCGTCGTTGTCGTCGTCGTCGTCGTTCTCGTCGTCGTCGTCGTCAGCGTCGTTGTCGCGGTTAGGAGTGCGATGGAGTGGGGATGAGTCGGGAAGAGTGCCGAGGAGGGCCGAGGAGGGCGATGGAGTGGGGAGGAGTCTGGGGCTACTGGGAGGAGAGCCGCAGAGTGTGATGGAGTGGGGAGGAGCTTGGAAGAGCGGGGGGGAGTGCTGAGAATTGCGATGGAGTGGGGAGGAGGCGGGAAGAGTGCAGAGGAAGGCCGAAGACTGCGATGGAGTGGGGAAGAGTCGGGAGGAGCGGTGAGGATTGCCGAGGTTTGCGACGGCGTGGGGAGGAGTTGGAGGAGGGGTGGGGAGCCCCAGGGAGACCTCCGGGGGAATTGCGGAAACCCGGCCCCCTTTTTCCGGGAAGCTCTGAGAACGTCCGGCCCCCTACTTCCGGGAAGCTTCTGGGGCTGCGGGGGCCTCCGGGGATCTCTGGATGCTGCCGTCGCCGTCGCCGACGCCGCTGTCGCCGACGCCGCCGCCGACGCCGCCGCTGGACGCTCGCACGCGCTACCCAGGCGCTGCCCCGCGCTCTGGTCATCCTGGGGGGGTCGTACCAGGGCGCACCGGCGGGGCGCCCCGGGGGGGTTCGTGCCGGGGCGCACCAGCCCCGCGGGGGGGGTCGTGCATCCCGGGGGGGTTCTTACCGACCTGCACCGGCGGTGCGGCCAGCACGAAACCCCCAGTACGAGCGATTCCGGGGGGGGGTCGCTCCGCAACGGGCACCGCCGACATATATATATATATATATACACACACATATATATATATACACATACATAAATACATACATACATACATACATACATACATACATACATACATACATACATATGTTTTTCTCGGCGTCATGTATTGTCATCCCTGGCGGCGGATCTAAGCCGCTTGCGAACAGTTACTCTGTGCGAGTCGCGGAGCGTGGTCGTCTACACAGGACCTCAAGGGCGGGCTGCGCGTCTTCTGCCGCATCCGGCCGATCAGCTCCAAGGAGGGCCAGCGGGGCGACGAAGTGGCGGTGCGCGCGGAGGACGCGCTGCACGTGTCGGTGCTGGACCGCGGCCAGAGGCAGTCCTTCTGCTACGACACGGTCTTCGGGCCGGAGTCCTCCCAGGACGATCGGCGGAGCCCGGGCGGGCTCGTCTCGATCTCGCTTCCTCCGTTCTCGATCCGCTTTCGATTCGGTGGCTTCCGAATCGAAAGCTCCTCCCTCCTCCTCCTCCTCCTCCTCCTCCTCCTCCTCCTCCTCTCCTCCTCCTCCTCCTCCTCCTCCTCCTCCTCCTCCTCCTCCTCCTCCTCCTCCTCCTCCCCCTCCCTCCTCCCCTCCCTCTCCTCCCCCTCCCCCGACCAGGCCCCTCCATCACGTGGATTCCGGTTTGGGTTTCGATTTCTCATTGGAGGCGTACTAAGCTTGCCGATGTCCGCCGATTCGGCTTTTCTCGGCTCGGCCGCCGATTTCCGCCGTCCGACTCGTTTCGGTCGCCGAGCCGATTCGTCGATTCGAGTGTGGGTTTTCCTGCGAGCCCAGGTGGGAAGCTAGAGGGGGCATGCCTTCTGAGAAGGCGGATGTGTGTCTTTCGGGGAGGCCTAGAAGATTTCTCTGAAAGGCCTTCTGTGACAAGCCCCGCGGCCCCCTGAAAAGGCTGGCCCCCTCTGCCTTCCCCCCCGGGCCCCCCGCGAGGACGAGGTGTTCGCGGACTGCCGGAGCTTGGTCCAGAGCGCTTTGGACGGCTACAACGTCACCATTTTTTGCTACGGACAGACGGGCGCGGGCAAGACGTGGACCCTGTACGGGAGCGGCAAGGAACCGGGCGTCTCGCCGCGGACCTGCGAGGAGGTGTTCGCCATGATCGAGCGCGACAGGGACAAGTACGAGGCCGAGGTAAAGGCCTCCATGGTCGAGCTATATGTCAACGACCTGCGCGATCTGCTCACGACGGAGAGGGAGCCCCCCAAGCTCGACTTCAAGAGCGTCCGCCAGGGCGACGGGAGCGTGTCCGTACAGCTGGACGGCGTCGTGGAGAGGCCGGCCACCAGCGCGAAGGATCTCGCCAAAACGATCGGGGACGGGCTGTCAAAGCGCAAGGTCCAGGCCACCAACATGAACGCCGTGTCCTCGAGGTCTCACCTGATGTTCATCATCAAGCTGCAGATCACGGATCGCATCACTGGGAGGAGCCGCCCGGGTAAGATCACTTTGGTCGACATGGCGGGAAGCGAGCGGTTGGCGAAGAGCGGCGTCAGCGGCGAGGGCGCGAAGGAGGCGATCGAGATCAACAAGTCGCTCACGGCGCTGGGCGACGTGATGGGAGCGCTCACCGCGAAGGCGAAGGTGATCCCGTACAGGAACCACAAGCTCACGCAGCTTATGCAGGACAGCCTGGGCGGCCAGGCGAAAACGCTGATGTTCGTCAATCTCTCCCCGTCGTCCTACAACTCCGACGAGACCATCTGCGCCCTCAAGTACGCGACGCGCGCCCGCAGCATTGAGAATACGGTCGTGCGGCGGGGGGATTAGCCTCGGGCGGTCCAGAGGAGGGCGAGCTGAGGCAATTGTAGTTGGCCTTCGGGGGGAGGGAGGGAGGCCTCGTTACCACGGCGGGGCGCAGCTCGAAGACCTGGTGCGCTTGGACCCCGCGAGGGGTCGGAGACCAACTTGAGACGCCGTTGGCTCCGCTCGCTCTGTTCCCAGCGATGTCTTAGTGGGCAGCTCGTTTCACATGCCGTGCCCGTTCCGAAGCTCGCCTGATGCAGACGGTTTTGTGCACTGTCCTATCTGCCTGGCCGTTTGCTGTCTCACGCCCGAGGGGGGCAGTCTGATCAAGTTCCCAGTCTTTGGCCTTGCCCAGTTTTCTTTTGCCCCAGCCGCTTGCACGGGCATGGTTGTGTTCCCCTTGCCCGTGTGCAGGGATTTTCACGGTGCTGGGCTGTCCATGGTCTCTAGGACCAGCCCGCTCTCGGCCATAATATTGATTCTCCAGATTTTAAGGTTTCCGAGACGTTTTCCTGCTGCGGCACCACAGGCATGCACGGTACGTTCGCGTCGTGTGGATCGACTTGCGGTGACCCCGCCGCCAGCGTTCAACGTTGAACTCCGCCGGTGACCCAGAGTCGGTCGAAGTTGAACGATCTGACGTTTTGGAAACAGCCACGCGGTCAAGGTTGAGCGATGGTTGTGGTGTCAAAAACCAGCGCCGAAGTCGGCACGACACGAACCTGCCGTAGGCATCCCGCCCTGGAATGGTTGCGCTTGATGCCATCGAGTGCCGTCGCAGCATCGTCATCATGGAGGAATCGCTCCTGTATTTCAGTGTTCCCGCTCACCTGGGCTTGTAAGCATGACCACGTTGCCCCGTACAGTGCGCCCCTTTCAGTAGCGCCCGTGGCACCGCTGTTGGTCATACTGTTTCACGCAGTCTCACTGGCCTCACCCAGACCACATCGCTGCACATCGCCGCACTGGGGGGCACACTGCCTCACCTGGCCCACATCGCTGCACATTGCGCGCGGGGGGCGCGCGATCCGCGAAAGGCTGCCGCGCGAGCCGGGTGAAAGGAGGAGAGGAAGGCAGGTCGCCTTCCTGCTGAGCGAGCCATCTCTCGTCCTCCTCGCCCACTTGATCTTCAACGCCATGAAATGCCATGTAATGCTATGCCATGCTACCACATCCGACTGTGCGAATAGAGAGGTGATCTGCGCCATGGTGAGGGATGGGAGGGAGGGGTAGGACGGCAGACATGACGCGAGCGCACCTAGCCTGCCCACTCCTTCTCCCTCTCCCCCAGGACCTCCCCAGCCAGCGACCTCCGGAAGCGGGAGGCCACGGGGACCCCTCCAGAGACCCAGAGGGACCAAAGAAGAATGGAGGGGTGAGAGGGGATTACCCGCACGCCAGCATCATTCTCGCACGCGCACCGCTCCAGCGTTCCAGTCGATGTGAGGTGGCTCCAACCGTCTGTCCCATATCCTGCACACAAAGTGCGAATGCTGCAACTGCGCGTTGTTCTCACGAGCACTGCCCTCGGCACTGCCTCTGGTGGTCAGCAGGCTCCACCCTTGACCGCACGACCAGCAGACAGACACCGGACGGCCATGATCGCTGCAGTCGACCCACATGGCGAGGATGGGCAACCTTCCCCAGAGTACAGTCGGGGCGCTGAAGAAGGAACGCTTTTCGTTGGGGAGGGCCTCGGTGTTCCTTGATTGTTTCACAGTTTTTCTCGGGATTCCTTTAGGCATTTGCATGGGAAATCAAAGTTTAATTTATGGAAAAGAGGGGCCTCGTTCCTTATTTAGGGTTCCTTCGGTCAACGCCCCGGCTGTACCCTCCCATCCTTGCCTCCTCGCTCCGTCCTTCACCACCTTCGTGGGCCGCGCCCCGCTCAAGAAGCTTCGAAATGGGCGCCCACGGCCCTTGCGTCCTTCTCGCGCATCCTCGTGGCACGGGCCGATCTGTCGGCCACTTCGACGAGGAGGCGGAGGAGCAGGAGGAGGGAGGAGGAAGGGGAGGAGGAGGGAGGCGGGAGGAGGGAGGCGGGAGGAGGAGGAGGAGGAGGAGGAGGAGGAGGGGCCGCCTGCACCGTCGAAGGCGCTGAGCAGGGACCGCGCCGGGTTCTAGCAGGGGCTCTCCGGACCTCGGGCCGTCCCCTGCGCAAGGGGGGGAAAGAGACAGCACGCAGCACACGATGAATCGCCGATCCCCAGGACAAGGTGGGAGAAGATGGGAAGTGGGGGGGAAGTGGGGGGAAGAGGATACTGAACGGATGAGGAATCCTGGGGTTTGTATCTGCGTGCGTGCGGGCCCCTTCAGCTGCCCTGCTTGGTCGCGGAGCCTGTGCGTGGCCGAGGCTCGGCGAGCGGCAAGAGAAAAGCCCCCCGTCGCTCCTTTTTGCGAAGTTGCGAAGGCCTTGCGGCCAGTGCCGCCGACCCGGAAGGAGGACCTCATCCTCCTCCTCTTCTGCCACCTCCTCCCCTTCTTCCTCATCTTCAATCTCCTCCAAAACCTCCTCTTGCTCCTCCTTCTTACCCTCCTCCTCCTCCTCGTAATCATCCTCCTCCTTACCTTTTTTCCTCTTCCTTCTGTAGCCATTTTGGCTCAAGGCCAAGATGGTGCTTCGACGACTGCCTTCGCGGGGTAGGCCCCCTCAGCTCCCAATATTCTTCGTGCTTGCAGCTACCACCAGAGGCGAGCTGCCGCCCACCTCCTTATTCGCAGCTACACACAGGGACGAGCTGCCGCCCAGTATTCCCGCCTGGTGTTTCGGTGTTGGTCTGAAAGCAAGATGGTTCCCAAACCTCACGGACACCGATCGCCTTGCCCTCGGCCCCCTCGGCATCGAGCTCCGCGAGCCGAGTACGTACACGAGCACACGATAGGCAAGCAGTGCCGATACCGTTGGACATGGAAGGGCAGAGGCGAGTGCTTCGCCTGAGGCAAGCCCTTCGCCCCATCGCCAGCGGAGCACAGACAGCCCGAAGTTGCGTAGGCGGCCGAGCCATGGCGCACCCGATCGTCATCGGCAAAGAAGAATTTGGCCCCCAAGCCCCCGTCGAAGGACAGCATCCTCGGCGCCGTCACCTCGCTTTTCGCGGAGGACGAGAAGCATAAAGACTGGTCGGCCAAATCAAGCAAGCACTTCAAGAACCTGAGCAGCCTCCACCTGCGCGCACCGCGGAGCAGGCGCTCCAGTCGGCCCTCTCCGCCCTCACGGACCGCGAGCGCAAGTTTCAGCAGACCGTGGGCGACGTCGAGGAGGCGCAGCGGTGGCTCGACACCGCAAAGAAGCGCCAGGAGCAAGCTGCTCTCGAGCTGGTCAAGGCCAAGCGCGTCTGCGAGCAGGCGCAGGAATGACAACGCCGCAAGCTGGGAGGAGATGCAGCGCCTCCCGAACCGCAGCCAGCCACCGAGCTCTTCCGCATCGACACCTCGATATGGGACGACCTCGGCAAGTACGGCGATGCCACCAGGATCCAGACGGAGCAACGGAAGAAGGACCTGGACGACCGCATCAGGGCCCTCAACGAAGGCCAGGACTACGTTCGCGACATCACAACAAGAGCCTGAAGGACCTTCCGCTCCTCAGCAGCAACCTGGCGCTGCTGCTGGCGCCGCCCTCTCCGCCACTCCAGGCGAAGCCGCTACAGGAGCGCCTGGCGCCAGCTCTGGCCCCAGCCAACCTGGGGCGCCAGCCGCCGAGCCCGCAGTCGCGGAGCCTTCCACCGCCGACCGCGAAGCTGCTGCTGCCCTCGTCGCGGACTCGGTCGCCAAGGCCAAGCAGACGGCCACCGTGGCGGCCAGGGGCAAGGGCAAGACCGCTGGCGCGGACGCGCCCGCGGGCTTGCAATGCGGGCAGCCCCGCCAGGCCAGGGGCGGCAGCCAAGGGTCGCGCAGAGGACTCCAGCAACAAGGCGCATATCCTCTTCGGCAACATCACGGAGTGGGGCACGCAGGCGGCGAACAACTGTCGCACCGCCGGCTTCCAGTACCACATTGTCGCGCTCGCAGAGACGCACGCGGATGTCAAGGGCCTCATCGAGCTCCACGGGAAGCTCGCTATGGGCGGCTGGAAGCTAGCTGCTACCCCAGCCCTACCGACGCACAAATCCGACAAGGGCACCCACGGTGGCGAGTGGATACTCGCCAGGCGCGACGCGGCGGCCACTGCCTTCGAGGGCTACAGGGGGCACAACCTCCTGACCCACAAGCGCCAGCCCTTCGTGGGTTTCCCCCCTGCTATCTTGCACACCAGGAGCGGCAACGTCGCGACCATTGCCACCGAACTGTGGCCTGGGCTCCGCGACGAGGGAGCCAATAGGGACATCCTCATGTCGATATTCACGTTCGTGGACATGCTCGCCGACCCCTGAATCACCCTGGCCGACTGGAACTACGAGCCGACGCAGTGGACCGACAAGCCGTGACTCACCCGCTGAAACGGCACGGTCGCCACCGACCCCTCTTGCACGGCCACGTGCGACAAGGGCAAGGGTTCCGTCTACGACTACGCGATCGCCAGGAGCGACATCGCCCCCCACATCATAGTCCAGGCCGCGTCCGACGCGCCGTGGAAGACACACCGCGGCTTCCAGGTCACCATCGGGGCCGCCGAGCCGCGGTGCTACAGAGCTACCAAGGCCCCAAAGCCCCCCCCGCGCGAGCCCGACCCAAAAAGGGCCCCGACCCTCTCAGCAAAAGGTCGAAGGCTCGCGCGGAGGCGCTGAGAACCAGGGGGGGCAGGCTGCCCGGACACCTGCGCGAGGAGACCGACACCCCCTAGGTCGCCAACGACACCCCCCGTGAGGACGACGCGCCGTTCATCGCCCCCAGCGCCGACAGGGGCACGGCGGTCGGCATCGCCGACACCTGCCCCAAGTTCGAAGGCCATTGCGCGGGCGCCAAGGAGGACAGGGGCCACATCTTCCACGCGCACGCGCCGAACACTGCGATGCAGGTTAACACACGGCCTACGCGCACTGGATCGCCGCGATGGAGATCGCCTTCCTGGAGACGCACAACGCCCCCACTGAGGAGAGGGCCAAGTACCTGGGCAGGGCGCAGGGCTACAGAACGGCGCGCCAGATCACGAAGGCGACGCCAGGGCGCACCTACCTCAAGGACCCCGAGGCGGGTTGGTGGCAGCACTTCAGCACGCCATTCATCCGCTACACCGCCTTGGTCACCAACGACAAGGACACCCGCGCCCAGGGGCAGCTCAGGAAGAGCACCCAGGCGAAGCCCAACCAGCTCGACAGCAACGACGCCCACCAGGACCAGTTTGGCTCCAAGGTCGGCCCCACAGAAGTGAACGAGTGGATGTTGCGACGAAGTGGACCCCCACCACGTCTGCGCCACCACTGAGCGCTGGACCAACAGCGCGATGGCCCGGGCGGCGGGCCGATCCCGCAAGCGCCACCTCGATTGGGCCACGCGGGCCTGGAAGGAGCCCCCTGGCAAGCTCCACCGCATCGCGGTGGGCCCGAGCCCCCCGAAGCTCGAAACCAAGTTTAACGGAGCCACCGTCGGCGACCCCTACACCGCCACGAACAAAGCAGCGGACGTCTGGCGGCCCATCTGGACCTCCAACGCCTACGATGAGAAGCAGATCACCCAGTCCTGCCCCGAGGCCACGCGCCTTGCTCGGGAAGGCCCCCTCCTGGCCATCGAGCCGCAGCACATCTACGCCGCGGCCAGCGTTGCCGACCCCAAGAAGGCGCGCGGGGTCGGCACCGTCGGGCCCCTGGACATCCAGCGCCTGCCGCCCAAGGGCATCGAGAAGCTTGCTGCGATCTACAACTTTGTGGAGCACGGCGGGCTGTGGTCGCAGCAGCTCTACGCCACCTTGGGAGCGATGGCGCCCAAGCCAGTGGGCGGGGAGCGCGTCCTCGGCATGCGCCCCACAGTCGTTAGGACTTGCAGCAAGCTCCGCGCTACCATTACCGACCACCGGCCCAGTTAGCTCGGCGAATTCGGACACGGCGACCAAGGGCCCCTGCGCCTTACGCGTTGCCCTCACGAGAGCCCCCCTGGACGAGTCGGCGGCGGCCCACGGCTTCCCCCACGCCACCCTCCGCATGGACGTCGAGAAGTTCCACGATTCAGCCAACTTCGCGATGCTGCTCGACACGGCCATCCAGGTCAACTACCTTCTTGCCGCGGTGGCATTGGAGGTGCAGCTCTTCCTCGCGCCCAGGTACCTGCGGACGCACGGCTGGGTCAGCGACATCATCGACCCGCAGCGCTCCGTCGTCGCAGGCAGCGCCCGCGGCGGGAAGTTAGCCAAGGTAGACCTCGCCCCCATCCTGGCGAGGGCCCACCAGAACTACTCCAACGCTGGACTCTGGACCTTCGGAGTCGACACCGTCGCCAGGACCGAAGGGGGGCCCGAGCCGCTCGCCAAGGACCTCGCTGCCGGGGCGATCCTCTGCAACGGCATGGCGGAGGCGGAGCTCAAGGTGTCGCCGAAGACCATCGTCACCGCCTCCAGCCCAGGGGTGGCGCTCGACGTCCACGTCGCCACCAAGCGCGAAGGTTCCCCCATCAAGGTCGCCAACGCCTCCGTCGACTTAGGCGTCGACACCGTCGGAGCGCGCAGGAGGGCGGCGGCGAAGGCCGCGAAGAGGGCGCTCAAGGCGAAGCGGAGGACAGGCCGCATCATTGCCAAGATCCGCAGGCACGCCTCGCTCGCCAAGAATGCGAAGGGCCCCTGGACCACGGGCTCCAGATCGCAGGGGGCCCACGGCCATCAGGCGATGGGCCTCTTCCCGAGCGCCATCGCCCAGCAGCGGCGCCGAGCCGCCCAGGCGATCGCGGACAAGCTCCCTGGCAGGTGCCTCACCACCACGCTCGCCGTGCCCCTCGGCGACAAGGATCCTGGCATCGAGCTCCACAGGCAGGCCATCCTGGAGCGGCTCTCCTTCTGGTTCGCCAACCCGAACACCACAAGCGCATCGCCCACGCCTGG